TGGAGGTAAATGCTGAATGTGACATATGGAAATTCCTGCTTAATATACACAAATAAAGCCACTTAGCCTGAGTCATTAATCACACAGAGGTGATTTTGTTCACAAAGCACCGTTGTGGCCTTGCTAACTCTCGCATTAAGGAAAAACGCTCTCACAGGAAGGCAGGTATGTAATAGTAGTAGTTAACTTCTCATACAGGAACCACCAGCAGCCTCTCACTACACGTGTGACAGTGAATGAAAATGAGACTTACAGGCGTGCGAGTGTTTGCATGCATATCTCCTCTCTCACCTAAAGTTCATATGGTTTCCATCCCAGAAAAGTCATGTTAGATAACAGCCATGACACTAATGGCAACCAAGAATCTCTCACCTCTTTACAGCTAGAGTTCATGTGCACCTGCAAGACTTTAAGGAACGAAACATATTCATGTATCTTGAATGATTCAATCGCAAGATGTCAGAGGTATGAAGGTGTAAATAGGAGGGTTGAAAACGCAAGTGATCGGATCACATTTGTAGCACAAATGCTAAACTTGAAATGTGAAATAGCAGTGAAATGGGGCAAAAAAGGTCTATTGTCAATAGTGTAGAGATGCATGAAGCACGGCTCATACAGAAGTCACTCTTTTAAACCAAGCTGCTTTCTGTGGTTCAACCCGTTGAGATTCCTATTGAAATGGTGGTATTTCGTAGGGATGCACGATATATTGGCTACCATATCTGTATCGGCTGATATATGTTCATTTTTAATGTTATTGTTATCGGCCCAATAAGAAATGATGCTTTTGAATTGCTTGAAATATGATTGGAATCACTTCAAAAAAAGGGGAAAAAATGTGCAGCGCAAGTCTGTCATATAGGCTACATAAAATTATAATGAGAACGTTATAATTGTGTGCCTAGGACATGGCTTTTAATGGTGAGACTTTTTTTTTTTTTTTTTTTTAATCAGGCTCACAAAAAAAGTATATAAAAATTGACAAATTTATCGGCCAATAAATCGGTTATAGGTTTTCAAATATAAAGAATTATAGGTTATCGGCCAAAATTTTCATATCGATGCATTTCAAGTTTTTTGTCCACGAAAATTCGCAAGACAACAGTAAATGTAATTGCTCCTTAATGCATCCTGGACTGCAGCGTAGAACCTCCTACTCCGCTCTTTTTCTTTTTTCTTTTACACTTTGCCAGTTATAGTATGTGTGCCTGGTTGGAAAGTGCTTCATCACCGGGTAAACAATAACAAAACTAATAACAAAAGTGTTTAACCAGTGTTATTACCATGAACGAAAATTAAAATAAAAGCTAAATGAAAACAATGGCTATAAATTAATCGTAGTTTTGGATAGTATACCATAAAACCTGCAACTGTGCAACTAGATAGCTATAACACTAGACTGCGTGGAAATTTTTTACATTTTCAATGACAGTTTCCCACTTTTGCTGCCCAAAAACATTAAAAACTAAAAATCTAAAACGAATCTAAAACAAACAATGATATAGTAATGACTAATGAAACCGGACCTAAATCCAAAAGACAAACTGAAAATAAATTAGAAATGAAGACTAAATAAAATTTTCTATATAAGACCGTCACCGCTCGGTTCTCAAGTGGAAACTCTCAGTACCTCAACAAGTCCAAAAGCGTTGAATGAACAAGTGCAAACAAAGCATTCTTATCAAACGTACAATCATGAGTGCACCAAATTAAATATGCATATTAGCATTAGAAAGAAATTTAGATCCGGTCAACGAGCAGTGCTGATACTTCCAGGTTTCCTGGCTTTGCAGAGAACAGGGCACAATGCTAGACCTACACTTCAAATTCCCCAATAATCTTCAACCCACTCTGGGTTTAATTCCAAGCACAGCCCTTCCTGCTGAGCTCCTTGCCAAATAAGATATCTCACTAGCTTGGCAACTGAGTGCTAATTGTAATATTTCTTTCAGCGTTCAGTTTATGCAGCGTCTCGGGAGGAGGTAATCCGTCCTCAGAGTGCTGCGGTGCTTCAGGAGCTTCAACTGAGGGTTGGTCACTTCAGTGCTTCTGCCATCTAGGGGAAGATGAACCACTTAGGCAACACACAAATTCACACATATACATGCTAAATAGTTTTGAAAGCTTGGAAACTTTTTCAAACACGGTTTGACCTCAATGGTATGGTGTCCAAATCTCCAAACCAACATTCTGAATGATCCATATGAAATAGATTAAACAACAGCAGCACAAGAGTGTTTGTTGTGCTGCCAACATGAACAACATTTAAAACATAATGACTATTAAAAGCCAAATTCACAACATTCCAGATGTTGTTATGACAGTTGAAGGAAGTCTCGGCAGAGGCGTAATGAATTAAATACTGTTGTTATTTAACATAAACAGAAAAGGGATTGTTTTTTTTCTTCTTTACAGTATGTTTAACTTGTCTTCCTTGTGTTGAAGTCCAAACCAAAGTAAGTACACTAGCCAAGCCTAACCACCTAAAAAAAATTAGAGCTTCAGTCTCAGTTTGAAGACCTTATTGGTAAACATGCTCTATAATGCAACAAAAACAGACAAAAACTGCTTAAATATCTTTCTCTCTCTCTCACACACACACACACACACAAACCAGCTTCTGCCATGATTACCTCGCTAACAACATCCAAATAAGTCACGTAAGGTTGTGATTTAAGAATAATTTCACAGTTGGCATGTATGTGGGTTGTCGGAATAACTAGTCGAAAGAAGCCTTTTATAATTACATTGGATTAGGGTCATGAGACACCAATAAGATGCATTTCTTAGAGGTCATTCACACAGAACGTGTTTTTTTGCAGACGTTTTTGACCTTTGTGCTCACATCTTATAATATCTTTTGCAGCATAGTAATACAGCAGTCAAGATTAAAGAAGCTTTTAACCCTAAAACAGCTACACTAAAAAAAACCTCTGGGTTAAAAACAACCCAATTTGGGTTGTTTTTAGTCCAAGGGCAAATATACAGTAGGACAGAACACATGTTGGGCTAATTTTACACAGCAATTTGATTGCTTATTAAACCCAGCCTGTATATACACACAAAAAAACTGATCTTGCCTTAATGTATTGTTGATGTTGGTGAATTTATTTAGCTTTGATGGCTACAGCGGCAGTGCTTTAAAGGGAATGGATTTAGAGACTTAACTTCCCTGAAAAGACAGAGAACTTCTCTGGTGACAGTCTCACAGCACGTTAAAAAAATGCTCTAAATTCAACCCTTTTAAAGTACCGTCACTAACTATTAAAGCAAAAATTTAAACTAAACTAGATGTCTATTCGGAGTATTCGGCAAATGACAGAGAAAAACGAATAAAAAAACAATATATATATATATATTAAAAAAAAACTTTTTTATCACCAGGTTCCTAACTCATCTATCACAGACAAAAGTGCCCTGGCGAAACCCCGCTGGCCACCTGACATTCTTCTCCCTTCCTCTCATGACACGAGGACTAAATAAAAACAACATCGAGTCAGAGCGCTGCTTCAAAGCAACTAAAACACCCCTCCTTTCTCTCTCCCTCCTGCCTGCTTGGATCGTTTTCAAACACACACAATTTAATAAAAGATAGACGTTTAATCTCCTCCATTCCAGAACAAGAGCGCCGCTGTGAAACCCGATCTCTGCTTAGTCTCAGCAGCCGGACACACTGAGCCACCGCGGCTACGTCTAACGAACGGAACGCATTAAAGACGAGAGGGACAGACGGGAAAAAGTTAGAGGCAGAGACCACGAGAAAAATAACAACAAAATAACAAACAGCACTTCGCTGGCTAGTTATTCGCAAATCACATTAGGTAGGAAAAGCCAAGCTCAATTTTCTAATATTTAGGGGTCGATGAAGCAGCCGTAGTCCTATTCGTATTAGCAAGGGGCGCATCGAGAAAGCTGCAGAGGGGAATATATACAGCAGGCCTAGCCGTTGGGATAGCGAGTTAAACTAAAAGAAAAAAAAATAACAAGTAGCGTGACTCAAGGGCAAAGCGTCATGCATTCTCCGGACAGTTTCTCTCCCAAACTGGAACACATGTGCAACACAGAGGCCCAAAACATTCAATGGGTTATAGCTCATCTGTTTTGCTACGTAGCCATGTTTGAGCTCAACCAACTCAAATGCTTCAAAATGTTGAGTTCACTGAGCTCATATGGATCGGCTTGACTCCGGGTGAGAGGCTTCACAAACGATGAGTTTAAAAACCGCTTGATCTCGCGGTCAACACACCGAGATAAGCTCCATTAGTTTGCCCTACAGAGAAACACTGACAAGGTTAATGAAGATTTCTGGCAAAGGTGCAAAGCATTACATTCGTTCTGATTAAGGGGACGTAGAATGGAAATGGTGGGCGACAGGCAGTATGAAGAACAAGCTGCGGAGGGCATCTCGCAGTCAGACTACAAATGGAGGCATATATCAAACATGACAGATATATAAGTTTTCCCCTCAGATTTGGCTAAGCTTACATATCACTCCATACCACGCACAGCTACGTTTTTGTTCTAGCAAAGTGCGTGCCGCTCGCGTGGGTCAGAGACGGACCGATTCGGCCGACCTGCTTGGTTGTTTCTGAAGTCTATTCTGTATTATTCATCACCACCTTAAGTTGGGGCAACAGCTGGAGCGCAGGAGGCTTGGATTCCACTCCCAGAGCCATGGAGGCGTGTTAATCTTACACTTAACCAGGGAAATCGATTAAATTCATGTTGTATAATTCTGAATCAAAGCTCAAACTTGAAATTGGATTTGAGCTATGGCTTATGAAACTCTTTTTGGATGACGTTAATGCAAGTGATTTACAAGGTACATCAGTTCTAGAACTTCAGCTGTGAAAACTTTGAGAGCAAAATCTCAACATAGAAGTTATTTAAAGTACTGACTCACTGGACAACATTCATCCCTTCTGTTTCAGATACACCCTGTGTAATCAGTCATTCAGCCATCTTGATTTTTACAGTGGAACCTGTTGAGAGATTCTTACCTGGGCGATGTTTTTGTTGAGCAAATAGACACCGTATTCAAACTGGAAACGCTCTCCTCTGGGATAAAGCGGGAACCTGCAAACAAGAGCACAGAGGCATCATGAGAAAGAGTTTCAGCACTCACCTCTGAACCATTACACATGGTTCCCATACTAAACACAAAGTGAAGAACATTTTTTATGAGGTCGTAATCAGTTCATAACTTTGCACAGGACAACCTCACACAAAACAAAAAAACAGCAGGTCATCTGGATAAACAGCTAACCAAACCTTTAAAGCCTGAAACTAATAACTGTATTTACAAACCAACATTCAGAGTCCAGACTCTTTTAGTGTTTAAGGGTCCTGTGTAGTTAACTGAGCAATGATGATGCTTCAAACTCTTCACAAACTTCGCACAGCAACAGGCTGTTTCTGACGTAAGACATTTGTGCAGATGTTAAGAGACCGCCTGGAGCTCTGGAGGTCTGGTTCTGATCCGCTTCTCAAATGCATGTCTGAAACACAATCTATTATCCCTTAAAATCATCATTCTGGCTTGTTTCATTCGGTCAGTTCTCATTTAAACCACAAGCGTAATCATGATTCAGAAATGGCCGAACGGCACACAATATCAATGTCTACATCAGAGCAACGAATAATGAACTAACCAGTCAAGATGCACAACAGATGAACACGCTGGACTATTAATGCAATTCTGAAGGGTGCACATTGAAGCATTTACGGAGAATGTAAGACTTTAGAAAAAGCTTTTTTTTAATAAAAATAGTGCTATACAATAAGGTACATGTTTCAGAGATCACTGGATGCCTATGATGAGGACAACACTAATTTTTAGCTAATCATTTTATCCTCTTGAAGCAATACATCAATATAAATATTGATCATTAGTCAATAAAATATGAACAAGAGCTGAATTTGCACTTCTAAAAAAGAAATGTTAGTGCTTGTAAGGCACCAAATAAGTAGTAATAAAGTTTGGTTTGGTATAATATAATATAATATAATATAATATAATATAATATAATATAATATAATATAATGTATGAAATAAAACAAATAAAAACAAGAACTAAATTTGCATTGATTTGTTTTTGTTTTAAAGTAGGCTACAGTTAGGTTTTAAGCATTGGTTCAAAGTAAATTAGATTAAAAGGCTAAAATAAAATAATAAATAAAATAAATAGACAATAGAAAAAAACTGAATATCTGAGGAATATTGAGATTATCAAATTGCGCTAGCAGTTAGCAGTTTAGCAGCAATGGACACGTTTCAAAAACAAGCAGACGTCCTGAACTGAACATCCTATTAATTTTATTGGAATATACGGCCTAAAAAACCCAGTTGGAAAGTCCCTCTGAAAAAAACATAGGATGGGAAAGGCTCAACAAACAGACAGAAAGACAACTTGTGAATATTCTGCACCCTCCTCAAAGCTACTTCCACTAACACCTGACATAACTGCAGCCCCCCTAATGTCAGAGTACGACATTACTGCCCTGTTATTAAGAGCTTACTGGGAAGGAGAGAAAGAGAGAGAGAGAGAGAGAGAGAGAGAGAGAGAGAGAGAGAGAGAGAGAGAGAGAGAGAGAGAGAGAGAGAGAGAGAGAGAGAGAGAGAGAGAGAGAGAGAGAGAGAGAGAGAGAGAGAGAGAGAGAGAGAGAGAGAGAGAGAACAAGAAGAGGACAGAAAAGCCTCCAGCTTAACCACCTGTGATCAACAAAAACATGACCACTTTAACCACAAAGCTCCCGTGACAGCGCTGTCAGGCTTATTAAAACACAGCGTGTGTGTTTTCAAGACTCCATACCTGAGGAATGCATTTATAAGAGTCTCACGATTGTGAACGTGCGACGTAGAGTCATTCATATTTTATTTTCATAAAACTGCACAGTAGGAGAAGTCGTGGACTGTAACTGGCCTGGGGTCACAGACTTTAGCCTACGGGCGGCAGACACCTACAACCCAGAGGTGTGAGTGATCGTCCGGAAGTTCCTCTGTAATCCGTGAGGCCTTTTTGTCAGTCACACCTGGGACTCGTGCTTTTAATCGCGGAAGAGTGGAGACAGACCCAGAAATCCCCACCCTGTACTTCCTTTCTTAACAATTCTGTCTCTCACAGACATACACACGCACTCACATACTTCCTGTCTGACCCATAAGACCCAGGGGGGCATAATCTTGAAGCAGGTGCATACTTAAAACCCTCAACGGACTGAACATACACACACGCACACACTTCAACATGCCATTCATGTCACTTTGAGTGTAAAAGAGCAGAACAAGGTACAGTGTTGCAACTTATTCCTCACCCAAACCTAGTGAACTGCCTCGCTGCCTTCCAGGACAACAGTCATAGAACCTCATAAGTGGCGGATTTGCACTAGGAGGCAACAAAACAGCAATAAATGTAAAGCAGTTAGTTGTTAATCATTTAAAACTACCTTTAGCAATACCGTATTTTACGATACATTCAGAAATACTGGTATTAAGTAGCGCAAGTAAGAATACACTGGTTGCACTGAATGTGTTTGACTCAATCAGATTAATTCATTCTGTGATAGGACAAAACTGGTTGTGTGATGCATGTTTCTGATTCACTGAAAAGAATCGGCTCATAAGAGTGATTCTTTCAGAAATCGGATTACACTGGTTGCACTGTTTGGTTTTGGTTCACTAAATAGAACTGGATCATAAGAGTCATTTGTTGGACTACACTGGTTGGACTTTATGTATTTGATTCACTAAAAAGAATTGGTTTGTTAGAGTCATTCGTTCGGGAATCGGACTACACTGGTCACGATGTACATTTCTTGCTGTAGATTCTGTAGCAGTCTTGTGTCGCAACTAAATAAGAAGTGCAAGAAACTCTGTCAGGGTATTTCAGTATAGTATTCCGTCAGCATTGTGCAAGAACCCGAATCGAACATCACTTGGTTCCCAATCATATCCTCAAAAGCCACATCTTACCACATTTCATAAAAAAACAACGACAGCAACCCAGCCAAAAATCACTCGCACACACACAAACATACGCAGGCGTGCACATACCGTCACCTAACAGTGATTAATGAGCGTTCTCCGGTGTGTGTGTGTGAGATCATACTGCTGTGACTCTGGTTCACAGAGCACCAGGAATTCCTCAAGGGAATGTCCAGTCAAATATATTATAACAGAGCAACAGGGGGCAGGAAGCGAGTATGTGTGCGTACGTACATGTGAAAAAGTGTGTTCGGGTTAACTGGAGAGAAAGAGAGAGAAATGGATAGGAAATAAGAAGTGTTTATCACTATTGGAAATGTGGAGGATTACAGTGAGAGCTGGAGAAATGTTCACTCTTATGTGGCAGGATACCTCACAACCCACAAAATGTCTCACAAAACAAGGCACATCACAAATGCATGTATTTAGCTGAAAATAAAATAAAAGGGGGAAAAACACAGAAATCATTCATTCATACATAGAGTTAAAAACATATTTTTTAATGTTATATACTAGCAAAAACACTGTATAACATTAAAGTAGAATTCCAAACTGCTATAAGCAATACTATGCATATGGCTGAGGAGATATAGATTTTAACTAATCAAAATTACCATTGATGACCTCTAATGCAAACATTAGCCATTAAAGACATAATTGATAACTAATTGGTACAGCAAACAAGTGTCTCTGGAACTATTTTATATTTAAACATTTATAAATCAGTGTATAATGGATTATGAGTAGGCTCATTGAAAAGCAAATGCATGACTTAAAAAATAATATAAATGCAACTATAACTGTCCTTATAATGCAGTATAGGTCTTAATGAGTCTTTATAAATATTTTTATAGAATAGTAATACTTATAAATAAGTATAAATGGGGCTATAATTCGTTATACTGTAAGCATGGGCTTCAAAGAAAGTGTTACCAATAATTTTTGTAGTAAGAAATTGCTTAAAATAAAAATGTATTCAAGTTGTGAAAACAGTTTAATCTCTTAATGTCGTTTTAAATATATATATATATAAACATGTTAAAATCTTTTATGTATTGTTAAGAAACTGCTTAAAAGAAACTGCTTTTTTTTTTTTGCATTTACCATTTTAACTCATATTTAATACTTGGATGTGGCAGGAGGAAACATTAGGTTTTGGGGTGCTGTGGAGCCCATTTGTCCCATCCAGAACCTTGTAATTCTGGTGAAAACGTCTATTATCCTAATATTAATGTAGCAACTCTAGCATCATTGTCCCACCTCAAACAAACAGGGTCACCAGTGAAAAGAGCTGTACATTTCCAGTAAATGTTTGTGATGGGGCAAAACATATGCAAGAACAATCCTCCATGTTTCCAGATTTGCCTAAATTTCTTTCAAAGTTTGATCTGGAATGATACTTTATAAAAAAGAGCTTAGATAATTGAACATGACAGTGACACATTCTCATTCGTTTTCCTTCTAACTGCTTCCATCTTTTCTTTCTTTCTCTCTCTCCCCCGGTGTTACGGAGTGAGATGTTATCAACTAAAGGGATAGTTCACTTTGAAATAAATTTTTGATATGTTTTAGCTTACCTCAAGGGCATCCAAGATGTAGGTGTCTTTGTTTCCGCAGTAATTTCAATTTTGATATTTTTAGGTCAAACCGTTCTTGTCTGTCAGTCATATAATGCAGGTCTATGGTCACCACCTCAAAGAGCATGCACAGAGAAGTCCAAACTACTGCGGAAACAAAGACACCTAGATCTTGGATGCCCTTGAGGTAAAGCTAAAACATACCAAAAAAATTTTTCAAAGTGAACTATCCCTTTAACTACACAAGAGAAGAGAGACTAGATGGGCATGTACGATTACAAAAAGGTTTTGTGTGCACCACCTCAGAATCATGACCTCATATTAGCACATAAGCTCTTTGTTCTGTATAACCGCTCTATGACAAAGTAATGGTGCTCAGCCAAGACTTGACCAATCTAAAATAGACTCTACGGACTAACTGACCTCCCACTGATTTATCGCCTATTCACAAAGTCACAAAAACTATATCAACTTCATTCTACATTACATCTAAATATCTTTTGTTGCAAAAAATA